CTGTTGTTAAGGTGCCAGTTTATCCGGTTTATGATTAGGCCATCCATTATCTTTCCCATCACTGGTCTGAATTCCTCCGGTTTGCTGGCATGTTCCGTTTTAGGGATAAATTTGACATTAGCTTTTTTCCATATTTTGGGGAAGTAATTGAACTTTAAGCATTCATTGAATAAAAAAACGAATGCAATAGGAATTTCACTGAAAGCGGCTTTAATCATTTCTGGTGTTATTCTGTCTAGGCCTGGCGATTTCCGGTTGGCCAGGGTTTCAATTGCCTTTTGCACTTCTCTGAAGGTGAATGGGACGTCGTCTGTTGTTGAGCTTATTTTATTTAGATTTCCTCTTATATCCTTGTGTTTGTCGTTATCTTCTTCTTTGTTGTCAGACGGGAAATGAAATTTGAGGATGTTCCGGATGTTTTCAGTAATATTCGGATTGTTGTTATCATTGTTCCATTCCAGGAGGTTTGGGATTTGAGTTTTCTTATTTCGATTAAAAGCCACCTTATAAGGAATATCCCATGGGTCATTTTTGTGGGCTTTACTACAAAAATCTTTCCACGCCTTCGTTCGTGTGTTGTTTATTAGCTTTTTGTAGGTTTTTAGTGTTGTTCTGTAAATTTCTTTCATTCTTTTTTCCTCTTCTTTGTTTCTCGATCTTTCCATTTTTTTCTGATTTTTCTGACCATCTTTTTGTGTGCTGTCAGCTTGTTTGTCCACCAAACCGTTTTTTTAACCTCTGTTTTCTTAGCCCTGGCTGCTTGTTGGCCAGCCAAATGAATTGCTCTTGTTACATGATCCACATAGCTGTCTATGTTCTCTGTTGTTTCTGTTGTTTTGAAGGTGAAATTTCTCCAATTTCTTGCGAAGTTTTCACGAAAGAGCTCCAAATTTGTGAGTATTTGTATTCTTTTGCCTGTATCATTATTACAAAATTTTATGCCTTTAATTTCAGTTAAAATAATTCTGTGGTCACTGGCAGTAGTAGTTGTAAGGGTTTCACAGGAGTTAATCCTATGCATGAAGTCATTTGATATCAGGCATATGTCGTTTCATCCTTCAGCAAAGCCAGTAAAAAATGTGGGGATTGTACTCATGNATATAATATGAAAATCTCTGGCAATGTTGTTGCTAGACTTTTCCGGCATTTTTTATTCGTTTTCATTCCTAATAGTTGCTTTCATTAATTTGTCTTCAGATTGATTCGGAAGATATTAAGAGGATAAGGCCATATCTCCCGAACCAATAATACGATTTTCCTGAAAATTTCTAGAAATATTTCTGCCTAACACTCAAATCTTCCTGCAGAATTTCAAAAATTTTCGACGGAAGGAATAGGAGTTATTAAGCTTCAAATTTGTTTTAAGAATTATGACCCCCCCCATTACACACTATCATCCTCAAACCTCAAACTTTTTTTTTTACATCTTTCGACGTTTCAAATTCCTCTGATCCTGAAAATGTAAAAAAAACTTGTGGGTCATTTTATATACATACCAATCTAGGAAGTAAAATAGTAAAAAAAAAATAAACACACACAAACGATTATGAATATAAAAGTCTGTGTTATTCACTTAGGCTATAAAACGTTAAAAATAAATAAATAAATAAAAATATTACATCGCATACTTGGAAGTATAATGTTGAAAAATTAGATTAGGAAGTGAACTGTGTACTGTACATGTTATTTTCATAATGATTTATAATAATAAACCACAGATCATTGCTCCCCAAAATGAATTCGACTGCAAATGTTACATTCATTCGCTAAAGATTCTTATCGTTTGAATTGTTTTTTTTATTTTCCTTTTTTTCTACTTAAATAAATAGATTTTCCTTTTCTTATAAAAAAAATTTTTAATGCTTCAACTTGAAAGATAAAGTATAACAATGTTTCTAGATTAAACACTTTCAATCTTATCTGACTTCATACATAATCAAACGTTTTCAAATTAAATATTAGACAGATCATTTAACAATTTAAAATTAGGCTAATTAAATTAAAACAAGGCAGAACCGTGGAGAGGGAAGATACAGTGATTTTTTCCTGAGGCCCAGAGAAAATTTAGGGTCTCATAGAGATTTCTACTCCTATAATATTAACGTTAACTAATTGTTAATTAATAAAGAAACGTTCTAGTATTTCATTTGTTCAAAAAAGAAGAGACTAAAAAGCCAGCTCTACCCCAGGTCCATACAAGATCTTACCCCGAAAAGAGGTATAAGTTTCGTTTTCTCTAAAGCATTATAAACTAAATTATATTAAACATTCGTTTTCTATTATTATTATTATTTATTTGTAAGTATACAAGAAGAAAATATTGATAGAAATTACTTTACAAAAGTACGTTTACAGTGAGTCAGTAACTTATATTTGTAGATCACAATGTATAATGGTGTTCTGTAATAATATCATAAGCTTCGAAACATTATGAGATCTGTAAACAGGAAATAATTTAGGCATATAGGAAGTAATTATAATCTAAAAGATTCATTAGAAACTGTTACAGTGTGCAAGACTTTTCTATAAATAATACTATCATAAATTTATGAAAATAGTAGCCTATTTTGTTCGGATTAAATGTAAATTTAGTGAAAATTATGTCGCCTACTATAAAATATCCGTGATTAGAATGAATAAAGGACTTCTTAATATCTGTAGAACAAAAAAAGTTAGTGAAAATGCTGTTGTTACTTCGAAAAATTTGCTAGGAAGATCGACCAGATCGACAAAGATACTCCACTAAAACTCCACTTATCCAAATTAATTGGGACCTTCGGCCATCCAGATAATAAAATTTTTACTTAAAATATTCATTTTCTTTTCTATACAAACACACCGTTATGTAATGTACAGTACATAACAGTACACGCCTATTTATTTTTAACAGAGTTGCAAGGCAAGCTGGATAATTGTAACTTTTATTTAAGATGTACAGTACAGTACAGTACAATATAAGTGCAGACCAGCAAGATGTACTGTGCCTTGTAGAGTACCATTTCAGTTGGAGAAAACCCGAATTTGTTTAGTTTCTTTGGATATGCAATTTCTAATATGTTCATTAGAAATTTAGACTTGTTTCAGAGGTATTGTAAGCACCAGCATCCTGTGTTTAAAGCAGTTTGTGAAGTTTATACTAGTTTAACTAGGCAGGGTGCAATGGGTGCACGGATACAAGGCCCATGACAAAAGGGAGCTCTAAAATAGGGTATCAAAAATGATTAGTCTTATATTTTTATTTTACATGGAATCCTTATATATAAGTGTCGGGTATCATGGTAGCTTTGTACTGTAATACGTGTTATGAATATCAACTCTAACTAGGAATCTATTGGTAAACCACTGAACATTGGTTGTGGGTTCCTACCTGACCAAAAGGCTAACCTAAAATTGTAAACCCCGAGACAATTCAAGACACTATAAAACTGTTCATGAATGCCCCGAGAAAGTATTCACGGTTATCCCAAATCGCCATGTTTAATTCTAATCAGATTTGGAAAGAGAAGTTACCGTATGCACATTTTTATATTTGGTAAATAAATAGCACAAAACATATTATTATCCCTTTACAAATATATATGTAGATAGTTAATGTGATACTAAAGTTGTTTATTACTTGCTTTCAGCTGCATCAAACATGGACGGAAACACGCGAACATAAGAACATATATTAATAAAACGTGGTTGATAGGGATCATGATGAAACACGACATTCTCTCAACCTTTTATTACTTTCCCTCTGACAGCCTGGGGAATAATTAAAGATAAACTTTCCCTGTTAACAGAGGGAAAATATGGCGACCGGTCAATAAATTACTTCTCGTCATTTTTGAGCTAGAAGACTTGATACAGCGACAAATGAAAAACAAAAGTTGGGGTTTTTTTCTGTATGTTAGTGTATGGGGTCAGAGACATTTTACATACCTCAGGAACAGATATTATCTCAATCTACACGTTTAGATTGATTAATGTTTTTCTATTAAGTAATAAATTGATTTGATATCTGGTTTATTTGTATACGACAACTCGACACGTGGAAGATCTGCCCTTTCTAATGGAAAGATTTGTGTTTCAAACGTGAAGGAAACCCAAAAAATGCCACATAGCCAGCCCATTGAGTAGGTTTAATTTCGATTTCCAAGTCTCTATAAATTATTATGCTGTAGAAATTACCTAGTTAATAATGTATTTTTAGTGTGCATTTTCTAGTAAATGCGTTTACAATTTTACTGTTTTTTTGCATTTTTTATCGGTAAAAATGCATGGGTAAACCAATGCAAACTTACCTTGCTTACCGCTCTGGTTGAAAGACTAGTTCCTAATATTTATATTTATATTTATGTTTCTTCTCCCTTAATTGGTTAGTTGTAATAGTTTTAAGTTCAGTTATAAAGAAATTTTACTGTATTTATTTAAAATGTACGAGAAATGTTAATACAGTCGACCCCCATAACACTGTTGATTATTCCGTTTTATATGAATTCCATGTTGTACGAGTCACTTAGATTTTACAAATACGTGTGCCGGGTTGTGAACGTCTCACGTATTTGTAAAATCTAAGTGATTCGTATAACACGAAATTCATATAACACGGAATTATCAAGTGTTATAGCGAAGTCTACTGTATAAGTACTTTTTTAATACACTAGCGCCATCTTTTGATGGGTTGGCGAATTTAAATTCGTTTAAAACACGTAAAAATACAATAGATTGTCAGTTTATATTATTCAAAACAACTGTGAAAACTAACAGTTTATTATGGGTTATTCCACTTTATAGATAGGCGACAAGAAGACACTTTTTTTATTATTTTTTTTTTGTGGTGCACAACACAGATTCTTTTGAAATAGCAGGAAATAAAAAGGGTTATTGTAAACTTTGTTACTTTTTGACTAATTATTAATTTGAAGCATTTATTAAATTGATTTTTATTAAATCTACATTATTATTTACAATTAAATTTCGTATTAAATGTACTGTACATTGACAAAAACGTGAGGCACCCGAATAGAATTGTCTGATTATTGAAAACTTAACATACAGCTGCTTCTCGGGTAGATATGTGTGTAAATGATCCGATTGCACCCCAGGTAATATCACAGTAATACTGTACCACTACTTAACCATCATAGAGGATCATTGTGTTCAGGATTTTCAATGTACCCGTTGCTTGTACGATACAGTCAAAAGTACCATGTACAGTACAACTGATAGAGTTTGAGAAAGGCTACATCATCGGGCTGAAGGAACTAGGATAACTGTTATGCCCAATAGCTGCCTTCTGGATTATTCTTACACGACTACCTTTGGATAAGACTTTATTTTAAAATGTAATAAAGAGATTTCATTAAAATAAATGGCTATTTACATTAGGAACATCATCTACCTTTGCAGAAATAGGTTGCTTCTTCTTATGATTTGTAAATAAAAATGATCGGAAGTTATCCCATAAACATAAGATAACAGGTAAAATAAATAATCCGTGAAAAACAGATGTAATTATTATAATGGTAAACAGCTTAAAAGTATCGGTGAAAACATCGTATGGAGCTAATATTACCGTAGATATTCCTATAAACGTAGACAAACATCCCTGTATAACGGCGTATCCGGCAGCCTGTAGAGCATCCCTCAGTTTCTCATCTGAAGTATTTTTTTTACTATTCACAAAGGCGTAACATACGTGAGCAGAATAATCTGTGCAAAATCCCGTTGTAAAAATCAATAAAATCATAATAAACATATTCAACTGAATATTCCATAACGACATGTATCCAATTGTAATCAATTGGATAGAGACTATTGTAAAGCTGATGCTTACAGCGCAGAAAAGATTTGGCATAAATATCATAAATACGAGTATAACCGAACAAGAAGTTATTATCAAAGATTGTTTAGTTGTAGGGATTATTAAAGGGACAACATCAAAAAATACGTATTGAAAATTAAAGGCTCGAACTGGTAGATCAGATTCATCAGTTAGTTTTAACATGTTATAGAATATTTCTAATTCTTTATTCGGATGATCGGTAGTTTTAGTGAGAAGAAAAAACCTTGATGCCAATATTTTCTTCCCATCTTTACTGAAAACAATATCTTGATTTAGAGCTTCGGCCCATTTAAATTTTAGAAAAACATTACGTAATGCTTCTATGAAATCTTCGGAGTTACTCGTGTTATATCCTTGTAGAGATATCCACGAGTATGAACTTTTAATAAATGTAAGATACATTCTTAACCAGGATTCGGTGAAATTTGATCCAGCCATATAAGGTGAATTTTCTAGTCGAACTGTTAATTCATTTATTTTCGATTGAATAGTAGGATTTGAGTAATCTACGGGTGAATCAATTACAATTTGTATTCTATCCCGATATTTAGAATAATATTTATTATAATCACTCAAAAATTTGAGAGAATGAGAATTTTTGCGAAATGCCACTTCCGCATTCATTGATTCTCGTAAATATTTTAAACAGTAAATTCCTCCTGCCAAAAATACAATATATAAAACCATAATGAGAAATTTAATTTTTGGAATTGTAAGTAATTTTCCTAAATTGTCTGTATAGCAGTTAGTTGGTGTCTTCTCGTTTCTGTGTTTTGATAAACAGAAGCAATTCAAATACTTTAATAAACCTGTTGGAAAAATAAACAAATAAATTATTAAGGTCTTTTTCGTCGCGTTTTGCTAATTAAAAATATTACCTGCTTCTTCACTTTTAGCTACTGGAGTGAAAAATATAGCATGCAAATTCTTGGCTTCTCTATAACCACTAATTGCAAGACAACCACCGAAGAATGTCACTTGATAAACATAATCCATGAACAGACTTAAAGCCATATAAATGCTTATAGTTTGGATCACTTTGTATGGAATGCTTATACCAATCAATGCACAAACTATATTTGTAAGTGACGTTATTGTAATTGATATAGTTGCTTCCGAATACGTATCACTCATTCTCTTTTCGACAGGATCTTTAACGTTAGTTCTTCTCCATGCTGCCAATAGAACGAAAGAATCATCTAAACCGATACCTACAGAATACAATTATACACAAATTTAACATAAATTATATCAAGTAATTTAAAAATATTCATAAATAAAACATACCTAAAACTAAAAATGGAACCATAAGATTTAAATCTACATAGTCCATACCAAAAAGGAATAACAGACAGAAAGCTGTTACGACTCCAAACAAAGCAGAGAAGCATCCAGCAATACCCACTAACGGTTTACTTGTAATCCAGTCTGTTGTAAGGCACGTTACCACTGCAAATATTATCATTAATATTCCACTGAAGACGATAAATGGAGCTACGTGTGGAAATATGTTGGTGCTTTCTTTTTCATAAAGCATTCCAGTAAGCATACTTATACAAATATGTGAAAATACCATTTTAGAAATGGTTTCTACGAAACATTCTTCCCATTTAATTGTGATTTCTCGTATTGTAGAATTCCTATCATCAATAAAATACATCAAACGGACTGCTTTGAAATCTTTTATGTAGTTATATTTATCTGTCGACACTTTTCCAAGCATAATGGGATATATAATGATATTCGTTGAGTTTTTATCTACAGGATATCTAGAAAAAGAGATTGTAATTAGAAAATTATAACACGTGTTAATTAATTTTAAATTACTACTACTAACTGAAGAATGTCTTCTATGAAAACTTGTCGTTATACAGTCGACCCCCCTATAATTACGGTCCCAATAATTACGATTCCTATAAAACTGCAAAAAAATTGTGATGGTATCCGTAAAAAACAGTAAAACACCCCCTATAATTACGTTAAACGTCATCGGGCAGCCGANCTTAGAACTACACCAATACATTGTAATAGAAAGCAAAAAATTCCAAACGTGACACCCGGCACTCGGCCAGCGGAACAAAGCAGGTGGCCGGTCACAAGCCCGTGAAACACAAAAGTCCGGATCGTCGTTAATCGACGAGAAAGAAAAAACCAATTTACAATGAGATTTAAGGCACAAGTACACTATAGTAACCTTTATCCACGATATACATTAAACATTTACTTTTTAAGACAAAGGGTTTGCGAAGAAAACGCGATCCGAAACATGCACCGTGTAGCCACGTGGTCGCGGACTAAAAACAGCCGTTATTCTGCAGATACTCAACCGATTTGCACGAAAAAAACGTTAAAAACAATCGGGAGACATCAGTAAACAGAATACAATACATCAAACCTACGATTTAGTAGAAATATCGTCGATGCGGGTAATCAAAAACAGAGTAAAGTACACACACGTCCAACGCCGACGACTGCCCCCTGGCGACCCAGAGAGAGAGAAAGTTCACAAAGCTCAAAAAATACAAATACTTCTATGAGGATATGTCTAATATGCGTTCGTTGAATGGGTCGTATGAAACGTAATCGGCGCAGGAACTGTAGAATGGCGATAAAAGTTCAAAGGTGTGGTCTGTCATATGTTCTTTAGGACGCTATGTACGGTGTATGGAAACAAGATGCAGACAGTTATAAGTACAACTTCCTTTGATTGCCCGAAGCTTTCGGGGACTCGAGCTTTTATACGTTTTTCGTGGAAAAGAAGTTACTTGATCGACTTCTGTTGACACTAACGGTGCAGTTCTATCGACTAAGTGTCAACTTTTCCACCTAAGTGTGAAAACTATCGGTGATCTCCGATATACTTCTCACCAAGAGTGTTTTTTTTCATCGCAGTTGTTTACAAAGTTTTTTCTGACATCTGCGTAAAAATCGCGGATTTCACACAATCGTGAAGACATACGGTTTAATTATTACTTAGGACGGAGATAGAAATTATTCTGTTTCTCCTCGTTTGTACAAGTCTTTAGATACATGTATTGCTGCAGTGAATAATTTTTCTTTCGATATTCCTGATAATTTCCGCATTGTTTTACGTTATTTTAAAGTTAACGACGAAATATGGAATGGAAATGGAAAATTTTGTTCTATAATTGTTAACAAGGATGAAAGAATTAATGAAGTTAGTAACAAATTATATTATTCGTTCGAGGAATGTTTGGAAGTTATGAATGAAATTTACATAGAAAATAATAAAAATAAAAATATATTAATATTTTGAGAGATAATTTGCAGGTCAAAGCATTATAAATTTTTTAAAGCTTATAAGTTCAATTAATATGTATTCCTACATCCTAGTAATTGTATAATTGTTGGATCCTCGCAATGTGGAAAGACCACACTCGTGAAAAAAATGATTCGTATATTACTATAACCCTATAACCTGTTGATAATTCGGTTTTATATTAATTCCATGTTGTACGAGTCAGTTAGATTTTACAAATACGTGAGCCGTTCTCAGCCCGACACACGCATTTGTAAAATATAAGTGACTCGTACAACATGGAATTCATATATAACGCAATATATAACGGAAACAATAGGATTATAGGGGGGTCAACTGTATCTGCAACAATTTTAGAAATTTTTATTTATTGGAATATTNATAATTACGATTCCTATAAAACTGCAAAAAAATTGTGATGGTATCCGTAAAAAACAGTAAAACACCCCCTATAATTACGTTAAACGTCATCGGGCAGCCGAACTACTTTCCCGCCGTCCGTAGCGCCACGCTATGGAGAGATTTCTATCGTCTGGATAGTATTATATAAATTATATTCGACCCCCCTATAATTACGGTCCCAATAATTACGATTCCTATAAAACTGCATATTAATTATATAAGATAAGATAAGATAAGTATAAAGTTAAGTAGAGAACTGTCTGTTCAAGACAAACTTAGCCCTGTAGTAAGGAAAAGAAGTGAGAAGAAAAGTGAAAGTAACTAGATTAAAAAGGGGAGGGGAAGGAAGGCAAGGGTGGGGATCCATGGGCCGCGGCACCACATTTATTAAAAAACAGAAATAGATATAAAAATTGGCTAACATTTCCTAATACAGATTACAGAATTTACATAGTAATTGGTCCTGATACATTTACAGGAACAGATGGTTACAATCGTCTATACAACAATCAGATTACAGAATAAACAAAAAAGAATTTTTTTTTATTTAGTTTACAGAAAACAGCAACGTGGTTACATGGCCGAAAGATAAAGTATTAACCTTAATTATCGATTTACGTATTAAATACAAGTATTAAAACAAAAGGTTACTAAGGTTACAATTTCTTAAAAAATTTAGAATTTTTCAAAGTTGAAGGCAAAAAAGNAAAATTTAAAAACTTACTTGATTCGAAACTTTTTATTCTTTATATCTTGTATTTTATTCCTTAAATTTAAAACTTCATTATTAATGCAACTTCCTTTGGATTTCTTACATACATCATTATAAGTTAAATTATTCCCATTCCAATGAAGTACAATATTCTTAATTACAAAATCTAGCTTTTGTAGTTCCATGAATATAGAATCATGTAGCATAGAGCCACCATCTATAGCTGAAGCTATAATAAATAAATTCCCTCGAATTCTTGTTATTCTTGAAATATCGAAATCGTTTAAATCTTGTGGAAATAATTTTTCGATCAATGTTCTAGTTTCCATGCTTTTACCATTATTTGGAAGATATAAGCTCTCTGTATCCGAATTTAAATGAAGTTTTAATAAATTTAAACACATAAATGCAGTAAAAATAATTGGAATGATTACAAAATATAATGGATGACGTCCGATACACGAACCAATTCTTCGATAAACAAATGATAAACTTTTTCGAACTATATGCACATTTTCTTTTTTCCAACCCATTTCCAGTATCTGTAACAAATTAAAATTAATTAGATAATTATAGAAGTATGTATTAAGACAAATTAAATAAAAGGTTAAAGATTAAAGTTGAATGCCCAAACGGTTTCCAAAGAGGTTATAGAGAATGAAGGAAATTATACCGTATATGATATAAGATTCGTTTACTACTAATTTTTATTAAATAATATAGTAAATAATGGTGAGTAAATCTAAATACAGTCATTGACAAAAAAGTTACGCACCAAATAGGAGGAGTTAGAACTAGTGCGAACGTAATGACGATGGTAATAAGTAATTACAATATCATAGCAATGGAGCAATTTCCTGTACAACAATGGTACAGTTTCAACGTTTAGTACCTTATAGGATTTCCTCTTATCTGGATACTTGAGGCATACAGGCATCGTATGTTATTTTTCTATATATTTTCCTGGAGATGTTACAAATGCTCCTCATACTAGTAGATGGAAGTTTTAGCCGGTACTAAAAAGCATAGAATTGTGACAGTAACAGCCCTGGAAAACTAGCTGTACATACCAGAGGGTTCCCAGATCAACACTTTCAAACAAATAAGAACTTCAAATAACATTACAATGAAAATTCTGAACAATTTGAGCCTCTTCAAGAGCCTCTTGAGCCTCTTGTGAACTTATTTTTATCACAGAGTGTATTTAATATCTAAAACAACATATTACGCTTTCTCATCTTATATAAATATTTTATTTTCGTTAGTTTAAATGTCATTAACCTAATCATTTAAAGTGTTTAAAGTTCATATTACTCCACAGTTTACTATAAATAAACGTAATTTAACATTTAAACGTTTAAGTATTCTTAAAAGTTGTATTATAATAAATAAGAAAATTAAACAAGCAAAAAAGATTTAGCCTTTAAAATATAAGGAAAATCTCAAATTACAAAAATGCAAGAAAAGGTCATAAATTAAAAAAAAGCATATTTAAGTAAACCCTCTCCCGAATCCGTCAAGTCGAGGCTTTACTGTAATATATATTAATTAAATGAACTAAAATTGACGTTAACCTAAAATTATAAATATAAACCCACCTTTTAGAATCGAAATAAATTAAATAATGAAAGTATTTTCATCAATATTCACATAATTTAATTACTATAGTTAACATTATTCTGTAATTATTAACGCTTTATGATACGTAGATTAAATTTGCCTATGGTGCATGTCAGCGTTATTACTTACAATGACTGTAGAATCATATGTTAAGATATAATATACAGGTTATTTTTACATAAACACGATAAGAGATTATAGAATTTTGATAATCACTTAAGTATATCTTCAAAGAACTGTCCTTTGGAATGCATACATCATTAATAAACCCAAATAGATAAGTGATAAGAAATTAGTTTTTTTATTAGTGAAATTTTTAATAAAAACGTTTTGTTTGTAGAAACACAAGAGTAAGAATGAATGGTGTCTTTTCTTTCTTGAATTTAATAAAATAAATCTACACAATTAAAATCTTCTTACATAAGATAGAGGGTTGTTTTTTGCGCAATGTTAACATGCTGATTATTCAGTTTTGTTATTGTTATTTTATCAAGTCTACGATAAGATTAAATAAATAACTATTAGTGATTGAAGTGTGGCTAGGAAAAATGGGTAATACATGTGTGTTTATGAAGCAACTTATATTATTAAATGTGCGTATGTTTACAGATAGTCTTGTGTCATATTGTTATTAAGTTAAAGTACAAATCTTCGAACCGAAATAATCTGGATTTTTTTTTTTGTTTTATTTTACTTCCATAATCAAAATACTTTTACTAAATTTGATTTGGTAAATGGATCGTTTATTTAAAACAAAAACAATATGTGTGCATCAAACACAATACTCGTCATTGTACCCTGCCTGTATATATAATACCATAACGTACCATCAAGAAAATTATCTGTCATTACCATGCCACACCACCCGAGTATGGAAGACATACAAGTCAGAGAGGCAAGTTTTCAAGTACAGTTGTCTCATATGTGTTCAGTGGTTATAAATTCAAAAGAGTATGAGGATCGTGGCAAAAAATCTAATGCATGAAGACACACACGAACCTATTGTAAACAGACATTGTCCTGTTGAAAGACTGTCAGAAACACTTTACAGAACAGGGTCCAAAATCAAATCGACATATCGCTATGCTGTCAATTTTTTTTAGTGTTCATAAGAGATATATGATGTTATCCATACCATTATGCTGGGTGTTAGTCCTCTATGACTTTCTTTAAATCATTCTCTATCATTTTGGCTTACACTGAAGCAAAATTCATCAGCGAACAGAAGATTTCTCTAATTGAGTGTCCAGCACCGTGAACTCCTGCATTAAGATAAGTTTATCAGGTCATCTGGATCCGTTCATCGTCATGAAAACGTCTTCTAATTGTTTGCGTAGATACAGTTGTGCTGTAAGAGAGCGAGCAATGATCTTCCTCACAATAGCAAAGCGGTCACACACTATCAATGTGTCTGATCTGTTGATTAATATCTGATAAAGGACTATAAACTTGGTTGAAAATGTTAGTTTATCAAATAGTTTGAGCTGGATAAAAGATTATCTTATCCATTCTATTTCAGGGGTATGATATCGCTGAGGGGCAATTCCTTCTAAACTGGATCAGTGAAGACCTAAAGATGCTTCGCCTGTATTTTTTTTAAATCTACCTGTAAATTTAAGTACTTTAATTTCCTGTTCCTTGCATTTATTTCCTGTTTCCTTGTATTCCTATTCCTTGCATTATATTAATAAAGATAGAAGCTATATCTACTGAATTTTCAAACTTACGTTGTAGTAAAATGAGTACAAATCACTTAATAATTTATTTAATTAATTATAAATTAAATTTAATAATATGAAAAAAATTAAAGTCCAACGTTATTTCCAGTTTTACTAGAAGAAAAATACACTTAGTAATTGAATAAATAAAAAGTAAAAATATGAAAGATTTTATTGTTTTAACAGAAAATATTATTTAAATGTAACAACAATTGCTGCCTACAGATGACGCTATTTGTCCAGTAGTCACTTTATCCTCTGTTAGTGATATGCTCTACATTAGGGGTGGCCAACCTTTTCAGAAGGCGGGCCAAATTTCAGAAATAATATTTCCTGCCGGGCCACGAACCTATTTTTTTTTTTTTTTTTNAATTTTTGAAATCGGATGAGTAGTTTCGGAGATTACCTGCTGCATACAAACTTACTTACATACTTACAAACATTACCTCTTTATAATAGTACAGTAGAGCGTCGTTTATCCGAATCAATTGGGAACTGGGGTTGTTTAGATAACTTATTTTTCGGATAACCAATTATGTACGAAAAAATATATTAATTTATCCCGTGTTGAAATTTTTCTCCGTTGCGTGTCGCTTCGCGTTGAATTTTCGTCGATGTTAAGCCTAACGAAGACTATTGTATCGTTAAAAATTATTTTTTTATTTTGTACGAACAAAATAAATATATTGAAAAATATAAAAACAATAAAAAATTATACTTCAGAAGTTAATTTAGTATCAAAAACGGAAAATATTTGAGTAGCCCAAAACATAACCAAAGATTGCAGCGCCACAGCACTAGCGAAAATTTAAATTTGCCGACTGGAATTCTTTCGGATGATTGACTTTCGGATAATCGACGCTCTACTGTATTTATTTTTTTCAAGAAAATAAAACATAACCGAGAATCAAACTTACACTATTTACTAGACAATTTAAAAATATTTAAAAGTGAGACACCTGACTTTGTTTTACAGAACAAGTGCATCAAAATTGATCTCCATTGATGTTTTCTCTACACGCAAACAGTTTTCCAAATGAACATCAGTAATTCGTAATCTCACTTGTCATTTGATGTACTTCATGCGACTAAAAAGCTGTTCACACGCAGAAGTGTTTTCACATAGCGAAACCATCGACAGAGCATGTTTGTAAAACGCAAGATATTTATCCTTGTCCAAATACGTTTGATAGAACTCTTCTAAACCAACTTGATGGAATTTCTCCTTTAACTGTGTATCACAACATATTTCACAATGTTCCATTTGTAATCTTTCTGGTAATGTGCCGTGAATGGCGTTGCAAATGCAAGAAAAAGCACACGATGTTTTTCAAAATCCTGAAATCGGTTTTTAAATTCGAAATTTAAGTGAGATATCAAAGAAGCGTATTTATCCGCCACCTCCTGTGTGACGTCTGGTTGCAATGACAATGTAGGAAAGTGAGTAAAGTTTTTTGTCCTCAACTGTTATTCCCAAAGACCAAGTTTCATTTGAAATGAAGGAATACGATTATACATCTTATTAATTAATTGATCTTTCCCTTGTAGACGAGTAATTCTTTTGTAGACGAGTCATTTAGGTGGTTAGTTATATCGACCAGAAATGCAAAGTCGCAAACCCACTCTTTGTCTTCAAACTCTGAAATACTTTTTGACTCGCTTGCAAAAAATGATTGTATTTCTTGCTGCAAATCAAACACTCTTTTTAACATTTAGGCACTGGTCAGCCATCTTACTTTCGCATAAAATGTAACGTTATTATAATCTGAGTCCAATGACTTTAGAAATTCTTGAAACTGACCGTGATTCAACCCGTTCGACTTGATAAAGTTCACTATTTTGACAACCACTTTCATGGTATGGTCCATTTTAAGGGACTTCGAACATAAATTCTCTTGATGAATAATGCAATGAAAATTTAGCATTGAAGTATTATCGACTTTGGAAGCCTCGTTTTTAATCAATTTTACTAAACCTTCGTGTTTCCCAACCATTGCTGGAGCACCATCCGTTGTTAAGCCCGATAAGTTGTTAAGTTGTAACGAAAAGCGATTCAATGTCGATGTAACTGCCTCTAACAAATCTCGTGACTTTGTAGTGTCCTTAAGTGGATACAGTGCCTCTAATTCTTCCGTCTTTTTAAAATGGATATCAACACCCCTGATAAAAATTGTCAATTGGGCAGTATCTGCCCAATTGACAATTTTTATCCTTTCATCCAATGCTAGAGCATAAAATATAAACTCTGATGCTCGACTTTTCAAATTATCTTCAATATGCTTTCCAATGCCATCCACACGCCTAGTAATAGTTTGACTTCTATTCTTTGGTCCAATGTCTTTACTAGTTGATGCCATGTTAGGTCTTCGTTTTGAACTGAAAACATTTCTGTCCGTTATGTGTCGCCCCGAGTTGAATTTTTGTCGATGCCTAAAAGAAAATTTTCCGTTTTTAAATTTAAATTACATAAATAAAACGTTTCCAAGTTTACTTACTTATAGAATCGATATGGTAGACAGGCTACTCGGTTAAAGTAGTTGTTATTATACTCTTCATTACAAACACTAATATTGCATGGAAGAGACTTTATATAGTAAATTACAGCTTCTTGTCTCGATGATTGCTAATGAATAAGTGTTTGGGAATTGAATAAAGTACATAAAGTCTGTCGAATGAATCTCAAACACTGTGTAGTAGAGATAACAGAGACTTATCAAACTATACTGAGGGCATCAAAATGACACTTCTATCGACAGAATGCAACTTTATAACTGGACATTGTTGATAGAAGTGTCGTTTTGATGCCCTCAGTATAGTTTGATAAGTCTCTGTTATCTCTACTACACAGTGTTTGAGAGTCATTCGACAGACTTTATGTACTTTATTCAATCCCCAAGTGTACAGTACATCGCTAAATTTTATAAACGTTCATTTCTTTTTGCATTCCTCGACGTTTCAATGTGTCTTGAGTCCAAAAAATGCAAAAATTTCTGACCGATTGTCATACTTTTCCTCTGTTATATATAACAGCCTTCTTTTCCTATAAAATTGTCTCCAATTTACCAAAAATTAGTCTCGGATGCTGTCCTATGAACCGTAACAATAATTCAAATAGTCGAGTAATTGTACGAGGACTTCTCTTCGCATACGTCACAAATGTCTATTATTTTTACTCATACAGCGAGTGTAAACCACGAGGTGAGTGTTTTAAATTTCTATTGGTTATCGTCGAGTAGTGTCGATAACGTGGAACTCGGATGCTTCTCGAGTCGAACGACTCCACTAAACAGATTAGTAAGTATTTGCTTACATCTTGTCTACGTGTACTTGTCAATCGATAGATGTAGAGACGAGTTGAAGTGTTTGTCGATGTCAATGGTTTATCGACCTTAATAGTATTTGCAATCGACGTTCTGTTCTGTGTAATGAAGTTGAAGTTGCATTATCTATTACTATTGATATCCCATTAAACGGTAGAGATCTAACGTAAATGAAACCTTTGCCCTTTTAAAAATCCTACTCACGAGCCTGAACGTATTATTGTTTAATTAAAAAATAAGGTATAAGGACTACACTACATACAAAGTGTATAGTAGGTAAGTCTCTTTTTCTGTGCTGTATGTTAGTTAAATTACTACATCACATATAAATACCCCCACTGTACAGTAATTAAACAGTTGCTTGATTGTACAGTATTGTACGTATAGGATTATACATTAATTGTTAATAGTAAATTAATTTTTTTTCTGGTAGGAGAATTCTATTATCCGCGATGACCCTTGAGACATCATTCCTGAAATAAAGAACTATCTCAGATAAGTGTCTGCACACAAATCATTGGCAATAAAACCTCCTCTTGTGAAGCAATTTTCAATGATGTTTTGTGGAACTTAACACGCAGAAAAAAGCTTTCTGTGTAGTAATTTAATGTCCTGAGTATTGTTAACACATAATGTATGTGTATAAGTATTATGTTTAACCATATTTCTGTATATTATTTTCCTGGTTGTTAAAGGAAAGTACTGGAATTGTATCAAATTTTTACCATTCTCGATGTTTTAAAATTCTCTGAACCCAAAATAAATAAATAAATAAAAAGTGGAAATTCCATGGGTGTATGTGTGTGTGTTGGTCTCTATTTAATTTAATATCACATAGAACATAGAACAAACACTAAGAAGCGAAATTTGGCACGGTAACTTGAATACAAGGGACGTTGATACTATCCAATTTTTATGGTTAAAGGTCAAGGGGTGAAGAGATAGAGGGTTAACTTACGAATTTTATTAACAGTATATAATACTGTTATATAAATATTTAATGTAAGGGGATTAAGATAACCTTGAAATTGAGAAAAATTGAAAAATCTGTGTCTATTGAGCATCACCGATTTAAATTTTCTAGACACAAATAAAACGAAAAGTTAAAAATAACGAAGTCACCTTTCAAGCTTTTTCATTTGTTATTTATATAAAATAACTTAAGCGTTTAACAGTAGTATGTGACATAAGCGATGACGTATTATCTACGTAGCGAGCTGTTTTTATTTCAAAAACGTAATTAGGACAGTGCTAACAGCACGCTTAACTTCCTCCCCAAACTTTTAATTTAGTACACCGATTGAAAGGAATTAAAACTTTTAATTAATATTTTGTCTATTCGTCATACACAGGTTTTTACTTATAAATTAAGAAGAAAATACGTTGGAGGAGGAGTATTATAAGAGAAAAATGGTCGTTTGAAACAGCTGTCTTCACTTATGTCTGCTACCCCCTTCGACGTTAATGAAATGGTCTGTAGAGGTATAAATTCATGCAGTGAAAACACTATCAAGCTTTAACTACTTAACACGTGAGTAAAATTTATATTTCTCAGTAATTCTAGTGTTATCTCTTATATACAAATAAGTGAAAGTTTAGCATAAAAGTTAGAAAATTGCTGCGTATGTAAAACATACCAAGACTAATATAGTGCATACTATAAGACAATAGACACGCATATTTTAGTAGTGAATAACCTTTCGTTCGGACTGTTTATTTTAGTACGCTAAATTTTCCTCCCTTTTTTTATATATTTTAAGTTTAAATTTAAATATTACTGTTTAAAAAAGTAGGTTTAACGTTATACACTAGAATTAAAGGTAAGTGTACTGTATTATTAACTATTTGAGCCTTTATCTCTTCATATATTAAATATTTAATACATTTAAGAACTTGGCAGAATACAGTGAAACCTGCGTAAGCCGGACTCGTACGGTATTAATTATTTTTCTCGGTTAGGCAGGTTTCCGTTTTGAACGGGTGTTTTTTAACACAGAAAATTCCTAAGAATTTTTCCCGTTTAGACAGATTTATGTATATAATTTTATAATTATTTTATTATAGTTTGTTAATATCTTATACTTAACTAGATACAATCTATGTACGGCAGTAAAACCTNAACGTCGAACGTCGAGCACCATTATCTTGTAAGTGGCGCTCGACGTTCGACGTTCACGTTTTACGGATGAAAACTTCGGTCGCAACCTCTCTAATATTTAAATACAGTAGAGCCTCGATTATCCGACACCTCGGTTAACCTACCTGTGTCTAACCGTTAAAGCTAAAAACTAAAATTATAGATGTAAAAAATAAGTAAAACCTGTGTAAGCCGGAATCGCACGGTAACAAATACTTTATTCGGTTTGGCAGGTTTCCGTTTTAAACAAGTTCATTTTTAACAGAAAATCGCACCGTTTTGGACAGGTTTTAATGTAATCGTTATGAGAGATTAGTTATTTTGTATATGTTTTCCTAGTAACGTATTAATAAGAATAGGCTGTAACTTTTATGTGGCTACTTGATAACAATAGCTATTATATAATTGAACATTGTTGTATCTTCGAATAATAGCTGCTGTTATTGGATACAATAAACTATTATGCTCTTAAATTATTTACATATTTCACATGTCGACAAAATAGCACGCGTGTTAACAATATTACTGACATCTAATTATCTCTCATATAATAATATTCTATTACAATGACTGGTAGATATTTTCTATTTGATGTACAGTACAAACGTATAGAAAGTGTTTCAGTACAGTACATTAGTGTTTTATTATAATTAAAGTTTATTTATTTGTAAATAATTATTCAAAACATACGAGTTTAAACTTATAAAGTTAGACTTCCGGGTTTAAAGTGTTTTTAAAACATTTAAAGGTGAATCATTCGTGTTTTTAAAGTAATTTTTAAAGGGGTGAATGCTCAGACAGACTTGTCTTAAAACTAGATTTACATTTAATTAAAATTATTAATATAGAAATAGAAATAGGTTAATCAGTGTATTTTATTATTACGTCAAGAGTTACTGTGATTCATATGTCAAGTACCACTGTCGATATGGTGTTTACATCAGGAAACGTTGAAGAAATTACTTATGATTTGACAAAATTTATTTATGATTTTTAATCATAATTTGTATTTATTACAAAGACAATAGTTATATAATAATGTTATTATCTGCTGAAAGAATACTGTTGAAAAAAAAAGAATAATAGGAAGAGGAAAAAGTTGAAGTTTCTACGTTTTAGATGACCTCCAAAAGTCGCGGTTTTTATTCTTCATGAGTTGAAGTTTCAAATTATTCAATTACATTAACAAAATAAATATATATCTAGTATTTTTGGAATGAAAAGGGTATAAGAGCTTTGTATATACAGATACAGATTGTTTGGCGTAAAGTGCTACGACTCAATAGCGNAGGAAAAACACTCTTAATAGAAATAAAACACAGAAAAATAATTTAAAAAAAACTTTAAATTTTTTTTCAAAATTTTTGTGGGGTAAGTTGTTTGTTATATTTTTTTTTTTTTTTTTTTTTTTTTATAAATCTCGTCCCTACCTTCAAAATTAAGCTTTTTGCCATTTTGTAATAATAATATTAAAAATTACATATTAAAATTACACATTATGTGTAGTGTTACACTAGTATTCGGGTATATTCTATGTATTACTATTAGACACGCGGTAGATCACAATAGTATTCGGACAGAAGAAATAAACAATGATAGAATAAAATATTTTATACATTTAAAGCTGAATTGGATTGAGATCGGGTGATTATGGAGGCCAAGGAAGTACAGTACTTTTATATAGTGAACATCAAGAAACTGATTTTCGAAGTGTGCTTTTGATCATTGTCATGCTGAAAAACAAACCCTCGATGCCTTAATCTTAACCTGACTTTAATTTTCTTAAAATGTAAAAGTTACTTTAAGTATTTATAACAGCTAAATAGCAATTGTTAACAAGGTAGACACGAATCGCATAAATGTTTCCAACACCGATACATCACTTGTGTTTGTATATTACTAAATAATAGGAAATCTAATTTAATATATAGACTATATGTACAATATGCACAGGACCACAATAATTTCGTATATTGAATGTTGTAGTAATTACTTACGGAAGGAAAGCCAATAATAAACTAGATATTCCTGATTTCTATATGAAAACGTTACGCTTCCGATAAACATAATTACAGAAGAAAGCGCCGAAATGATTCCAAATCTAAACATAGATCTTGCATATATTAACGCTTGCTTTTAAATTTCTAATTACATTAATTCACTTAAACTCAATCAACAAGAATATATTTCCATATTTATCACGGTGAGAATTAAATTTTAACACAAGAATTTAAAATTACAAAGTTAGACTTCCGGGTTTAAAGTGTTTTTAAAACTTTTAAAGGCGAATCATTTATGTTTTTAAAGTAATTTTTAAAAGGTGAATGCTCAGACAGACTTGTCTTAAAACTAGATTTACTCCTTATTAAAATTATTAATATAGAAATAGAAATAGGTTAATCAGTGTATTTTATTATTACGTCAAGAGTTACTGTGATTCATATGTCAAGTACCACTGTCGATATGGTGTTTACATCAGGAAACGTTGAAGAAATTACTTATGATTTGACAAAATTTATTTATGATTTTTAATCATAATTTGTATTTATTACAAAGACAATAGTTATATAATAATGTTATTATCTGCTGAAAGAATACTGTTGAAAAAAAAAGAATAATAGGAAGAGGAAAAAGTTGAAGTTTCTACGTTTTAGATGACCTCCAAAAGTCGCGGTTTTTATTCTTCATGAGTTGAAGTTTCAAATTATTCAATTACATTAACAAAATAAATATATATCTAGTATTTTTGGAATGAAAAGGGTATAAGAGCTTTGTATATACAGATACAGATTGTTTGGTGTAAAGTGCTACGACTCAATAGCGAAGTTGCGGCCAAAAGTTTTCATCTGTAAAACGTGAACGTCGAACGTCGAGCACCATTATCTTGTAAGTGGCGCTCGACGTTCGACGTTCACGTTTTACGGATGAAAACTTCGGTCGCAACCTCTCTAATGGCTCGGAAAATATGCTTCTAACGCAATAAAAGTTTGATATTTCAGACGAGTCTGTTTAATGCCATAAAAAATAAACCCTGGTCTATCCCTTCTTCTATGTGGGGCGACAGACTGCATGGAAATTTCAAATGGAACACCCAATTTTTTTTTTAGATTTTTGTATTTTTTTATTAATAAAATCATAAACTTTTATCGAAAACTTTTTTCTCTGTGTCAAAGAAAAATAGTTAAACTCTTAAAAGCAATTTGTACCAAGGAGGTTTTAGTATATAACCTTCATGGTTTGTACTCGGTAGTGCATTATAGATAGGAATGGCCCTAGGTAAATTTGAATTACGGGACATTATGTACAGTATTGATTTCAAACATTTTTTTTCGGGCAATTTTGGGTAAATACTCTGGTATTATCGTTCGTATTTTAACTCCATTTCTGCGCTGTGTCAGTGCATCCTGTACCCGCACCACACCGGCAATCTAGAATACCCAAATATGGCAAAATTTAAATTTCCATATTTTTAATGCTGTAATGGGTTTAGAAAAGATTGATTTAGGTCCTCTGTCGGTTGGTTTCCCAGGCAATTTCCTTTTTTTGCCCATGGGATAATTAACAATTTATAACATTAATTCGATTGCCTCAATTTTTGATGTAATTATTTATTTATTTATTATTAATAACAAGTAACATCTAATGATAAACAATATTTGATACTTACTACCGACTTAGTTAATAATTTTATAGTTTTTACTCATAATAACACTTATTCTAATATAAAAAAGGAATCATTTTAACGCTTTATATCTAATTTTTACCTTAAAATATAATGTTTTATCTTAGGCATTACCTTTTAGCTGAAATTCTGCCAATAATGGATTCTCTTTAGCGTTAGTAAATGTAATAATTTTGATATTACAGAAGAATTTCCTATTGAGAATTGCCTTTTCTATAGATTACAGTAATTAATCTTTCCCTGTACTTATAAAAGTATTTACCAATCAGAAAGCGATACTTCTACTTTATTGTTCAAGCCAGTTTTTAAGGAAATTAAGAATGTTATTAAGTTATATAATCCGTAATAAAAAATTATTATTGATAGAAGGAAGGAAAACAGAAAAAATATTAATTTAGGAAATTGCTACCATCGAAAAAATTCGTATATCATATTGTTAAACAATAGGAAAATTATATAAGCAATTTCTTATTATTGGTAACTAACTTAAATATTTTTCAGACCAACTAGAGATTGTTTATGTCCGTGAAATACATTTTTACGGAAATAATTATTGGAACTCCGGGCATACCAGATTTGGTTTGATAGCATACAGCAATGCAACAATAGCAACAGCAATGCAGTTTTCCAGAAGCAGCGACCAAAACGGTTGCTGCTTCTGGAAAACTTGGTTCCTATTAAGGTATTACACAAGGAAACTTTCACTCGAGCA